TTTTACGTTGTTCCAAATGTTGGTATAAGAGCTAGAATCCTAACTGTGCAAAAATGGACATTCTGAACAATATTTTTATGAGAAATTGAAAAAAGAAAGACTGCCAAAAGAACATTTTCAACTTTTAATTTAACCACAAACCTTTCCAATATTAAAATAGCTCACAAATTATGGGGCAGGGGCTCACACTATGACCTTGTCCCTTATGTCTTCTTGACAGCTTAAATAGAAAGAAGACATATTACCTAGAATGGCATGTACTCCAAACCTCTACCAGTGAAAAAAGTAATATGGGATCTTCTCCCCAAACCAATAGAAGTTCCCACTTATTTTGAATTATGGTATTGATTTTCTTCTTGCTCTTACTGCCAGAACTCTTTACATTGAAGTTGGCTAAAGTTCCCCACATCAGTCATCCCAATAAACTGCTCTGGAACTCAATAATAATCTGTGCATTTTACCTTTAGAAAAGAGCAAATAAGTAAACAAGATATTGTGTATTGAAAATTTAGCAATAGCATGGAAACTGTTTACTCATCTTTTCAGAAATCCTAGGTATACATGTAATAAAATCACTTTTACAAAGTATACATCATCACTAAATTATCCAAATGTCCTGTGCTCTCCTTAATGCAACATGAATGAACATCGATCATCTTATCTCTTGTCTACATAATAATTATTCTCTGATATTTGCATAGAAAGATTCATTAGTGTCAGATCAAAATTGAAAGGCCACCAGTTCTAATAAAAACAAGCAGAATCTATTGCTCTCCAGGAAATTGGGAGCTAGGAAGGCCATTCAAGAGACAAGTTTACAGGGTCTCACCAAGTTAAAAGTGGAAAGACTGGGTACAGTATAAAAAGAGAGAGACTTACCCAAATTAAGATTTGGAAAGTCATGATTTGAACATGTAAAAAGAGAATTGTAAAGTCTCTTTTGGTATTGATCATCGCACTGGTTTATATCACAAAGCGTGGACACAGAAATCATACATTAAATTAGCAAAGATAATCATTTTCCCCTTGCATGTCAGACTTCAAACTCATGGGCCAGGACTTTGTTTCAATTGACTCTGAACAATAGCACCATACATGTTGTATCATGATGGGTACTAAGTGATTCTCAAAAATTATTTTTAAGTAAATGGATGAGCACAAGTTGTGCTGAATTAGAAAGCAGCCATAATTTTGCAAGATCTCCAGAAATCTCTTTGCTTTAACTTTAGGGAATTTTCTACTTTGCTATGGTTTATAACTGATTCTTTATCTTCTATTTATTTTCACAGTTCTTTATAGGTACATGCGCGTGTGCATGCACACGTGCGCGCGCGCGCACACACACATACACACACACACACATACACTTCCAATATAGAAAGGTCATTTAAATGAGATGATGTAAAATACCAGGAGAGAGTCCCCTGATGACATGCCTTATAATCCACATGATTAAAGTTAGAAGTTCATTATTTTCTTCCATCTTATTATCTCAATTCCCACCTTGTTTCTGTTGTAGTCAACAATGTTAAGGCTTCTTCATCTTTCTTTCACAATCTCACATAGAAAATTAAATACTTACTGTACATTTTCTTCTCTATAGTCAATTTCCCTAACAAAAAGTATCTTAAGCAAAATTCTTTTAGGATGAACTGGGTAAATACAGGTATTATTGATACTTATTGGTTTAATAAGTGGTTTTGATACATCAATAATTCTTAGCTCGTTCACTGATAATCATATCATTTCTGTTTGAGAAAAAGGTAGGATGCCTCCCTCTTTTTAACATGTCATGTCTTCTACTGAAGGAACATGGAAGTTCAGGGAGTAGCCCACAGCATGGTGTAAAGGAACAATGAAAATTGAGGGACTATCTGAAAAAATTTTAAATGATAATTATGATCCCTTATACTACTGACATTTATGATCCCTTGTTTTTAATTTTTTTGTATAAATTTACTACTTTAAGTAATGATAGTAGTTCATATTTATCAAGTTTTAATTTTTATTAACTACTTCTGTTCCTCTGTTGATTCAGTTACTACTGAGTCTTTAGGTTGAATGCAAACTGCTTTGGGATCTAAGAATACAAAATAATGTAGTGTGAAGGGTACTGAAAATCCACTAAAGTCATAGATTCAGAGTTCATTCTGCCCGCTGATTTTATAGGAAGGGTTGTCTACATTGTTTTTGAATGTCAAGGTTCAGGAATGTCAAGGTTGAGGAGTGTAAGTATCTTTCATATCAGAACTTGAGAAAAAGTTTTAGTACAAGTAGTTTATTTGATAGTTGACCATAGGAGGCACCATAAAAAAATAGGTTAAGAGAAGAAAAGCTAATCTAGGATGTGCTAATGAGAAGGTTACCACTGCAGGCAACAGAAACTCATTTTTGCTAGAGACCTTGGGGATAACAGAAAAAGCATCTCAGAGTTATCTCACCAAAGGGCCAAGGATGTGGGAATATTATTAACCTCTCGACTTTTATTGATCCATTGTTGATCAAGGGCTGCTAACAGGGGCACTAATATCCTGGCATTTCAATCTGTACTCTGTCCTTTCAGGTAAAACATGTTTCTATGGCCCGATAAAGTCCAGAGGCAGAGAGTAGTAGCTGACGCTTGCAGCAGAAAGCTTTTCATCTAACTGGAAACAGTGACTGCCATGGGGAAATGTGCAGGGCACCTCCCTGAGTCTTTCTTGTGACTGCAAAACATATTTAAGAAAAGTCTCTTCTCTTATGGGTATTAGGTTTTTATTGACTACTTAGTTTGATCTACTTGAGTTGTCTCCACCCCACTTTCCTTTTAACAAATAATAATTTGCACTGAAATTTCAAATTAAGGACACTTTGTTCTATGAAAGCAGCATCCAGGATAAAATTTAGAACATAAAAATTTAACATCAGAATTTTAAGAATTTTATAAATATTCACAATATGAAATAGTAGCATATCTCCCAGTATTTCAACTTTACTCCCTTCTCTGAATGAGAAAAGTCAAATCCAAATGCACTCCATTCTAGGTATTTTAATTTAAATTACTGGATCATTGCAATAGTCATGATTCTCAGAAGACTCAATATAAAAGGTTTAAGATTATTTAAATATTATTTGTTACTGTAAATACCAAAATATAAAAAATATTAGACCTCTATGTATGTTAATGGCAAAAGTGATTTTACTTTCTTAAGGAATTTGAGAAGTTTTATGAAGGCTTCATAAAAAATATGTTCAGAGACTGACCACCTATTCTTCCCCCCCATACATAGCACAGTAGACAAAATGACAGACAAATGATCTATGACTCCATACTCAAAGAAATATCTTTAGCGGGCCATAGAATGAGAAAGGCTTTTGTAAGTTCATAGAATTTTAGCTCTTGTCCTTTCCAGGGAATGGCAAGTCCAGGTTAAGTGAACCTCCATTCCATGCTGTTGTAGCACAAAAGCAGTCATAGACAATATATAAAGAAATGATTATGCTGTATTCCAATAAAATCTAAAATTAATATAACTTTCTTGTGTCACACAATATTCTTCTACTGATTTTTCAACCATGTAAAAATTAATTCCTAGCTAAAGGGCTATATAAAAATAGGTGATAGGCTGGATTTGTCCAAGTATGCCAAACTTTGTCTTAGTACAATTTCTTTATTTTGCAGGCAAAAAATAGGATACAAAAGGGTAAGCAACTTACTTAAATGTACATGAATGTTTTGTAGCAGAGGTAATCATATTTTGTTAAAATGTCTTAAAGCTGGTACATATTGGCTATTTATTTTCACATCTTTCCTTAATTATAGGTCCCAAGCAACATATTCTCCTTTACTTTGAGTAATATATCATTTAAAGGATCAGACACACATCAAATGAACTTTCTCCTGAATCATTTTGAGATATACCTGTAGTGTTTAAATATTGCAGTATGGGATTATATTGGCTCTGTACACATAAGTACCTGTATTATTAAATTAATTATATTAAATGGCACATAATATTCCAGATATATGATCTAAGCAGGTATTAAAAAAAGCAGATATAAGAAATGGTAAATCCTTCTGTCTTATATGCTAATTTGGTCATTAATGTTTTAAAGACTCATAAGCAGCATCTACATGAGAAATTGAACATTGATAGTAACACTGGTATTTGAAATATATCCACAGTGGGATATTATTCAGCCTTACAAAGAAGGAAATCTTGCCATTTGTGACAATATGGATGAACCTGGAAGATATTATGTTCAGTGAAGTAAGCAAAACAGAGAGAGACAAATGCAGCATAATCTCACTTACATGTGAAATCTAAAAGAAAAAAAGGAAACTCATAAGTAAAGAGTAGAATGCTAATTACCAGGGGCAGAGGAGGGTTGGGAAGAATTGGGAGATGTTGGCCAAAGTATACAAAATAGGAAAAATAAGTTGAAGGGATCTACTGTACAACATGTTGACTACAATCGGTTAATAACAATCTGTGGCATACTTGAAAAATCTCTAAGAAAGTATATTTTAAGTGTTCTCAACCCACAAAAATAAGCACGTGAAATAATGCACACATTAACTCTGGTTAGCTATTCTACAATGTATGTGTATTTCAAAACATCATGTTGTATATCACAAATACATATAAATTTTAGTTGTCAGTTAAATTAATAAAGATGAATAAGCAACATCTACATGAGAAATTTAGTTTTAATAGCAACACTGGTATTACAAATAGACATGTTGCTGCCATTTAAATCATGTTTTTAATTTTACTACGAATATACTCCTGCACTTTAAAAGTAAACCAATCTCAATATTTGCAACCCAAATCTATTTTATAAAACCACACATAACTCAGAACTGACATATTTGGAGAATAGATTGTCAGCATTTTCAAAGACAAGAAAATACAGAAGGCCTATTATAATTAAACCATTATTCCTCTGAAATATTCCAAAAGATGAAATCATAATCTTGAAAATTATACTTGAGACCAATAAATATTTTGGAAACAAATTTATTTGTTCTTCATCACCAAAGGAGCACCCTTGATGGTAGAAGACACTCCTGTCCTTATGAGTTTAGCATTTTCAGAGATAAAATTGTGTTGTTGAATTGGCATGTTGTCATACATCTTGTTATTAGTATCAATTTTGGCTTTTACTTTCATCGGTGGCCGGGTTGCTTGAGGTAAACCATTGACCTCATACAAGTAGTACATTTCTGCTGTCTGGAAACAAAGAGAGGGAGAGATTTTATATGAAATATCCAGGTTCAAGAGAGCTACTATACAACATGTTGACTATAGTTAATAACAATGTATAGCATACTTGAAAGTCTCTAAGAAATTTATTTTAAGTTTTCTCAAAACACACACAAAAAAAGCATGTGAAGTAATGTAGAAAAATGTAGGCGAAAGTTTACCATATTAAGCATCTTCTTTTCTCCATGTAGGGTATGGGAAAGGTACAAAACTGAAACCACCCATAGTGACAAAAAATTAATGTGGAAAATGAATTAAGGAAAGCATCTGGCTTTATGAATTAAAAATCATTTGCTGAAAAAAATCTCTCAGTTAGAGGTTTGTCCTGTAAGTGAATGAAGCACCCATCTCATATAAAGAAAAGCAATCTGTTTGGTTTGCAGAAGACTGCTGTCCAGCATGAGGTATAAATAGGAGAAAATATCTTTTAGGATAAACTCATTCATGAATATTCAAGTGTAGCCACAGGAATGACAGGCAAAACATATTGATCTGATTTTCAGATTATAAAAATATATATATGCATAGCCATTTTAATATACAAGGAATGTTATAAGATCACTGATAACACTCATAATCTAAATTCAAATGAGTACAACTTATATGGGGACTTGTTTAAAATGTCTTCATTTTTTTATGTGTATATGCATAGAAAAGCCATATTGAATTGGCAATTTAGCATTTTCGATATGTTTATGTTTATACCTAAGTCCCATTCCTCTTGCAGAGTTTTCTGAAGCCACCTGTTTTTATATAGGCTTTGTTCTTCACACAAAGATTTGTACCATGCATGGTCAGAAAACTCATTCAGGATAAGTTCAGACCAAGTGAATACTGCAGTGCCCTGGGCTTGATGTGTAGTGTGATATCTATCAGTGAATATTGATTCAGTGTGGGAATTTATTGCACATCTGTCATAGCTTTATTTTAATCATATCTTTTGATTTTTATCTAGTGCTTGTAGTAATTATATATTCAGAATCAATGAGTCAAAAGTGGACCAAAACAAGAAGCATAATACAACTGGGTTAAACAACATTTTACTTCACATGAGGATGTTTAATTTGAAAAAACGAAGCAACATTTTGATGATTTTGCATATGTCATGAATTTTTCCAGTACATTGACCTACTTCACAGATACAAATGAGGGAGCTAAATGAAGAGACCTGCACCATACCTGGTACTAAGTATTAAGATTTAAGCTACATAAAGGGCCCTGCACCCATGCCTGGCACTTAGTGAGTACACGTGAGTGAGATATATGAAGGGATATATACCCCTACCCAGCACTTTGTTTGTACAAATGAGAGCTACAAGTAGGGACTTGTACCTTTGCCTTCACTCAGACCCTTTGAAAATAATTACCTGTTAAAAACGTGATTTTAACATCCCAATTATATTGCATGCATTTCAAATGAAATTTAAATTTTACAATAAATGATGCTCTGTGTGTATGTGTGTGTGTGTGTGTGTGTGTGTATCTGTGTGCATTAGGAAGTTGTCCATACCCTTCATTCCAATATGCTATATAATAATAATAAGCTTATTTTATAAAGTAACGATTAAATATGGGTTTTTTTACTTAAAATTTAAATTTCTTAATCCAATTGTGAATAAAAGCAACTGCCCATGTATGTTTATAAAAACATTTAAAATATATAGCTCTATATCTTCTACCCACAATCTCTCTTTGAAAATATAAATACAAAACAGAAGTTAAAATCATATAAAAATAAATTAATATTTCCTTATTACTAATGTCTCATAGAATAACTGTGTTGACTTTTTTTAGATTAGAAAATATAGTTTATTTAAAAAGTAAATTAGAGAGAGAGAGAGACAGAGACAGAGACAGAGACAGAGAGACAGAAAGAAAGAGGAGATTCACCTCCCCAAGTTAGGGAAGGGAGCCAAAGCCAGGAAACATGTTGACAGCCATAGCTCAAAGAGCACATGGCCACAGTAGAATCTGGTAAGACAATTGCTAACTGTGTTGAGATTTATAAATGAATACCAACTTGACAATTATACTTCTCAATTATTTAAATAAATAATTTTTTAAAAAATTAAACAGATTAAAATTTTACATTTAGGCAACATCTCTGGCCAAATCCAATGAACTCATGGAATAAATAACTAAAGTTATGTTTTTAAGTGTATATTTCTTTGAATGGAAACAATGAATAATTATTCATTAGCAGATATGGTCTGTGTCCACCCACATGCCTCAGGTGTTTCTGTTTCACTCTCTGTTTCAACTTTCAGTTGTCAGTACCCGCACCTCTTTGGCTCAACATTGTTCAGAAACTCCAAAAGGCTTTTCTGCTGATGCCAGAGTTTTTAAAAAAATTTTAATCTTTTTGTGTGTGTGTGTGTCAGAGTCTTACTCTGCAGCCCAGGCTAGAGCGCAGTGTCATGGCCCAGCGTGGTCTGGCTGGGCTCAGGCAATTCTTCTGCCTCAGCCTTCCAAGTAACTGGAACTACAGGCACGTGCTACCATACCTGTCTAATTTTTTGACATATTGTGGAGAGGAGGTCTCATCAAGTTGCCCAGGCTGATCTTGAAACCCTGGGTTCAGGCAATCCTCTCGCCTCAGTCTCCCAAAGTGCTGGGATTACAGGCTTGAGCCACTGTGCCCAGCCTGATGCTAGAGTTTTAATAATCCCTGGGAGCATTTTTCAATTAATGATTATAATGGTGGTAGTTGGTGTATAAACACCCCAACTTTCTCCCTTCCTCGGATGTGAAAAATCTGAGATGTGCATTCCATACCATTTCCCAGAGATCTTTCATGAGATTGATTTCTGGTTGTTTACTGTAGCAGTTGCCTTGATAAAGCACCCTTTATTGATTTCCTTTTCTTCTCTATCTCACATCCTGGCTTCCTTACATCTGTTTCTTGAGATAACATGCCAAATATGTTACCTGGATCTGAAATCTTATTTTAGGATCTACTTCTGAGGAATTACAAACGAAGACATTTGCAATGGCATTTCCTACAATTTTATGCTGATGATCAATTTCTTTAAAAACAGTGAACTAACATCCACATTATTAATGTCTGGTTATGCCTCTAGTTATAACTGGGATATCTATATATCAATATTTCTTATATATTATAAATAAAATAACAATCAAATATAATATAAAAGTAAAGCATCATATGTTTTATCTTATATAATTCTAACAGTTGTCACATTTTTATAAACTACTTAAGAGCTATCATAGCCACCACGGAAACTTGAGCAGATAGATTTACTACTCTCTTTGATAGCTCAGGTTTTTTTGTAAAACAGACTAAATAAATTAACTTCAGTTTCTCAAACTAGTGCTATTTAACTTGTTTACTAGTGAAAAAAGACAAATTTTAATAATTTTAAATGTGATTTAATTGAATACAAATTATGAAGCTTGTTGGCAAGATTGTTGGGGTTTGAGGCTAATATTTAATTATGCTGTTCTTTTTTTTTTTTTTTTTGACTTGGAGTCTCACTTTGCCACCTAGGCTGGAGTTCAGGCATGGCCACAACAGCCTCCACCTGCTGGGCAGGTGATCCTTCTGCCTCAGCCTTCCAAGTAGCTGGAACCATAGGCATGCACCACCATGCCTGGCTCATTTTTTGATTTATTGTAGAGACAAGGTCTCGCCATGTTGCTCAGGCTGGTCTCGAACCCCTGAGTTCAGGCAAGCCTCTTGTCTCCATCTACCAAAGTGCTGGGATTATAGGTATGAGTCACAGTGCCCAGCCTAATTATGCTGTTCTTAAAACTCATTTTTTTGCAAATGAAGCATAATGAAGAAAGATTATATAGTTGCAATCATTGACTAATGCTTAAAATCAATAACTTAAAAAATGGTAAAATGTAAACAATCATTTTGACTTCTCTGTTTAAATTGTCTTCACATTTATCATGTGAGTGCACACTGTGTTATCATTAAGAGCAAGAATTTGGACTCAAACAGACACATAGTGTTTTAATAATGATTTTAAGACCATTGGTTTGATATATGCAATAACATTTATGAATCTCAAGGGCATTATACTTAGCACAAAGAGTTAATTTCAAAAGGTTATACAGTGTATGAGTCCATGTATATAATAGTCTAGAAATGACAAGTTTTTTTTTTTTAAGTAGGAGTCTTACTCTGTTGCCCAGGCTGGAGTGCAGTGACATGCTTATGGCCACCACAGCCTTGACCTGTTTCAGTCTCAGCCAGCCAAGTAGCTGGAACCACAAGTGTGCACCACCACACCTGGCTGATTTTTTTTTTTTTTATTATAGAGACTAGGTCTTGCAAATTGCCCAGGCTGGTCTCAAACCCTTGGACTCAGGCAATCCTCTTGCCTCTCCCTCCCAAAGTGCTGGGAATGCAGGCGCAAGTCACTGCACCTGGCTAAAAATAAAAAGGTTCGTGACAGTCAGGGGTAGGGTGGGAATTATAGTGCCGGACATGTTTAACACAAGGTAACCCTTTACACAGAAGGTAAGAAAAGCAGGGGGTATACAGGTGAAACAGGACTGGCCATAAGTTGATCAGTTTTCATATTGGATGATTAGCGCATAGAGATTAATTATTCTCTCTATTTTTGCACATATTTGGAATTTTCCATAATGAAAGTAGAACCAAAAAATTGTGATTTCTTAAGCATGTTTCAATCTTAGGTTTCTCCACATAAGCTTTATTAAATTGTATCACTTTAAACTAACTGAAAGTGGCATATTGTCAGTTGATCTCATATATCAACTTATTCTTTCACATAAAATCTTCAGTTTTGCTGCCAGTAATTTAATTGTCAAATCAACACGGGGAGACCAGGCACAGATTTTGTTGGTAAAGTATCCTAAATAGCATATTTCAGAACTGTCCACTGTATGCTAAATAAAAAGAACTTAATTATAATTTGCAAATCTTTTTAAAGATGCTATTTAATTCTTTAGAGTAAACAAGCAACCATAATAAC